CCCAGTGGATGACTGAGAAGTCGACTAAAAGTTTCTACCCATCGGGTTATTCTACCGTCGATATCGGAGATCAGTCCCCCGGAGGAGTGGCGCAGAACGGGTTGTAAAAATTGCCTTCTACCGAACGCTGATCTTATGAGGCGAAAGAGATCTCTGAAGTGATATGCATTGGCTGCGGTTTCCATTTTGATTGCTATTTCGTTCCAGTAGTTGCGCCGATCTGCTTTTGCGGAGTGGGTTGCNCTGATATCCAATCTTTGTAGCAGCGTTTCGTGGTACCAAGTTTGCTTAGTGTACCTTGTTGTACGGCAGCTTTTATCCTGGACCACTGCACATCAGTGGAGTCAGCTACGAGGACCGATGGGGTAGACTCATTTGCCAGTTGGGTTTCATTTTCATCCATTAGTGTTTTTTCATTTCTCGCAACACTAATGGACCCACATTGATGCGACTTGGAGGAGTGGTCTTGATACGAGTAGTCAGCCGAAGGCGAAGTTTTGCACGAATCAGCATGTGATCAGAGCCACCTCTGTTGCCCGCTTCGGCACCGCGATACTATCTAGTCTTCTACTGATGAGATCCAGCGTGATCCTATCAAGATATAGTCGATCTGGTGGGCTGTTTTGCCGTCATTGGAGTACCAGGTTAGAAGGTGCTTCCTGGGGTGCTGAAAACACGTGTTGGTTATAGATAGCCGGTTGAAATCGGAGAAATCAATTAGCCTGTCACCGTTTTCGCAGCGATGAACGAATCCAAATTTTCCAACGATATGTTTAGTTGAAGGTTCTTGTCCATCCGTTCGAGCATTCCAGTCTCCCGCCACGATAAGTACATCTCTGTTGGAGATGCGATTTACTACCTCCTGGAGACTGTCGTAGAACTCGTCCTTCGCTACGCTGTCGGATGGTAGAGTGGGAGCGTAGACTTCTACCACGGTGAGGTTGGTGAAATTNATAAGTACATCTCTGTTGGGGATGCGATTTACTACGTCCTGGAGACTGTCGTAGAACTCGCGTTCGCTACGCTGTCGGATGGTAGAGTGGGGGTGTAGACTGCTACCACGGTGAGGTTGGTGAGATTACCTATGAAGCGAGCCACAGCGACCCTTGACGATATTGGTTTCCAAGAGAGTAAGGCAGCGTTGGACCGCTGGCTCAGCGCTAATGCCGCTCCCTGTTGACCTCAGATTTCTGAGCCACTATGGTAAAAAAACAGTGGTGGCTATCAGAACCAGGAGCCTTGATGCTGCATGAGCCGGAGCCAGCTAGTCGTACTTCGGATAAGCATGTAACATCTACGC